CCTTGAAGATTTCAGATCTGCCGAAGAGGAAACTAACAAAAGATGCCTTAAACAAGAGATTTTGGACAGTGTTTCTTTATAACTGTGATCAATCACGACAATGAACAGTTTCTCCCTAGAATTATATATATGCTCAATCATCTATTTTCAATCAGCAAATATTGTATCACATGTTTTTAGATAACACATATATATAATTCAGTTTTAATATATGTACTTTTATGTATGTGTGAGGTAGAAGATGAGAATCACTTTTTAATTAAGTGTGAAAAATATGATGACTTTAGATTTTTATAATATTATCTCAAATATAATCCCTACAACTCATAATGGGAATCTGGTTAATATGAAATGTTGCATTAAAGGGAAACTCCGCAAAAAAATGAAAAATTGATATTTTGTTCTTTAAGCATTAAAAAAAAATGTTCATAAATAAAAAACTTTTATTCTCTATGAAAAGAGATCAAAATCGATTTTTGAAATTCACTATCAGTTCTCGACATATCGCCATCTTGTCGGCATGTTCGATCTAAAAAGTCACGTGATATCTAAAAACCACAAATACCAAAATGAATCAGGGATTTACCGACCGTGCGTTAAAAACTCCCATCATCAATCGGGGATTACCGTAGACGATCACTCAGTATGAAAATGTCTTGTCAAGCGTACGGCTGTTCTGTCCGACAAGGTTATGACAAAAGTCTAAATAGTTTTCCCAAACCCACAAAAAAAGAAAGAATTGTATCAGACATGTTTGTACAACCTTAAACTAACAGCAAATAGTTGCATCTATAGCAAGCACAAGTTGATGTGTGAAGACCATTTTGAACAATCTTGTTTTGAGGGAGATTTGGTGGTAATTATACTTTTTTAAATAACAATATAACCTAGCAGTTCTGATAGCTATAGTTATCAAATCCGTATATGATAAGATCTCGTTGATTAGAAAAAATATAGATTTGATGAGGAAGAAAAGTTTCAATTATAAGAAAGAAAAATGCAGTATTCTTGTAACAATCACGGATTTACAAAAGATTCATTAGTATGCCTCTTTTATATAAAAAGCATTGATTTATATAAAGAATAGTTCCGTATTTAGACAAGATGATTTTTCAAATTAATAAAGTTATACGATAAATAACATTTTTTAATTATGATATTTAACGGCTATTGACAAGGAGCAACGTTTGGAAGAGGTTTTAGCTAAGACAAGATATGTTGATATAGTATAATATTCCCAGGTTATAGAAATGTTAACATTGAAAAATTGGACATCTCAATTTTTTATCAAAAGTCTTTTTTAATTTTATTTACGTTATCTTATTATATATATATATATATACATTTTGGCTTCCTCCCGAATTGATAATAGGTATGTCAGAATTATTGATAGATGTCGTGTCAGAGCGACACATTCAGTTAGTTATCACAAGGACGTATATTAGATACACGTCCATGTGTATTCAAGTGACATCCTGTCGACTAAAAATTCGTATTACACAATTATATAATACAGGTTCATGCATGGATTATTTACAGAGGTACCCGGCGTGCACAGGTAACATTTATTGAACCACATATATTTGTATTCGACGTTGCTTATCTTGTGCGTGTTTGAAATTATAATTCCACCAGTCCTGTTAATGAATGATGTTCTGATAATAATATTATCCACTATTTTTTTCTGATAATAAGTTTTAAAATTTTATAAACATGACCTTATTTTTTGTGAAATAAATACTGTTTTGTCATGATTCTGGACCCTTCTTTTGAAAAAAAATTTCTTCACGCAAATACAAGCTTTTGACGATTGGCAAACATGCAGATGTAAAAAAATGCAGCACTTATAGTCAGTATCAATATTTATTTATTGAAGATAAGAGAGCTCCTTCTATGTCTAATGTCCCTATCTTTATAAGGATTAGAACGACAGTGGAAATAGTCATTGTAAAGGAGCGGAGATAGAGTGGCATTGTGAAAAAAAAACTAACTGAATAGAGAACAATATACTATATAGAGAATGATCGACGAAAAGGGTAATAGTAATTGTAAAGGAAAAGAGATAAAGAGAGGCATAGTAAAAAAAAAATGTTTGTTAGACAAAGTTACTGCTCGTTTGATATTTTTAGTTATACAAAATCACACATCGTGTTCCAAATTGGTATTCACGTGCGATAACTTGATGCATAGAATGGTTAAAGATATTTAAGCCGGTATCCCATGCTATATCGTAGTGTCACTGTGTTTCTTTGTTCAATTTCTTTGTTCAATTTATTTAGTTTGTTAATGATTATGTAAATAAAAAGAGATCTGTATAAAAACTTCATACCCGTTTAGTTATTGCCTGTAGGCGTTTGATTATTGTTACATTTAATATATATATAGAACCTTTCATACATCATAAAGTAAAAGATGTGTCAGTCTGATTCAAACGACATGAGAAGCCTGTAATACTAGTACGACTCGAATATAGCATGTCAAAATTCCTACTCAATATGGTTGTATTGGAAATCTTTTCATACAGATAGATAACTCATGATCCGACATTCATGTAATATTTGCCACATGACACTCATATTTCTTTCTACCATCATCATCTTATTCATTAAATATTGCTGTAAACATCGATGGTTCACACCCAAACAAAATGGGAGTAATATACCTTTAGAGCTTCTTCGTGGTATACACTTGTGAAATATATAGACGAAATTCGTTATTAAAGTGAATCTTCATCTCACAAACACAATTTTTGAATTACGATTTTGGGTGAACACCCATCAAACCATTACAAAATGGCAAGATATAACCATGCAGGCATTTAGTTTTCGTCAGACACAAGATAAATAATCACTCTCATAAACGTATATATGCATGCAGTTTCAAATATCAAGAACAAGCGGTCGATGTCTATAGATCATTATTAAGTCGGTTTACTAGCTGTTCAGAGTCAGACATGTCACTTGTACATTCTTGGCCTTCATATACCCAATCCGATGATGGGAACTCTTTTCTGATAGTGTTGACAACATAAGCTTGTATGGTGATTCTGCTTATCTGTACCAGTGGTTGGCCTCTCCTGCCCCCAAAAAACAAACTAACGAAACGCTACTAGTCTGCTTTGTCTGTTAGAAAGAACCTCTGGCGCTTATACGTCAGAAAACTTACAAGTCTACTAGTAAAGATTGTTTCAAGAACAACGAGGTTGGGACGAACTGTTCTAAAATCGTCAATATCAGTTATACATTACTAAGATATGCCTTTTATTACAACTACTGTATTTCTTATTTGGATTAATAATGGCTATCCTGTTCAGCATTGCACAAAATTATCATAGAATATAAAAAAAACTTGTTAAAAAAAATCCTCAAGCAAAATAATGTATTAGCTTAGATTTATAATGTATGTATATCCATTAATGAAATAAACGATTATTTTTACAAATAATTCGTTTAAGTGATTGGCAGATTAACTTAATTTTGAAGAATGAAATGTTAAAAAGAAAATTTAAAAAATCATGCATGTTGTACTGTTGTATTTTTTTTTTCAATTAAAAACTGAAAAATTAAGATAGTTTTACGATTGTTAGCATTTTAACATCGCCAGATTTAAATACAAGTTAAAGAATTCCGGTAAAGTAAATTAAACAGATGTGCAATTATTATTAATTGGGAAATGAAACATTTAATTTTTAAGATTAAAAGTACTATTCTTTTAACTTCATATTTCAATTTTATGCAATTTGCATAGAACGTAATCGAAAATTGTTCCACTGTAATATTGTAAACACTTCCGGAATTGAAAAAAAATTGAATGTTTATTTTCAATTAATTTATACAATTTAATAATTGTTTCTCTATTGTCATCGGATATTTCATCTTGGTGTATTAAACACGGTATACTCTTTCTGTTAATCCATTCAAACTGACAACATACACACCTGTGTACGCTTGAATTCACACCTGTGTACGCCTGAGGCTAAATTGCTGCAAGGTAAAGTTCAAAGGAATTCTCCTCAAATCGAGAAATAAACAATGACTTTACAAAGTAGTATACACGTTCTGTTCACATATATTTTGTATTGAAATGGTTATCAAAGTTATAACGGTAAATAAAACGTTAAATATTTCAGTTCAATATCAGTAAAAATGTTCAATAGATATTTTATGAAACAATCTCAACAAAAATTTATGAAATTAATTCGAAAATATTTATATTTAGATAATTTCACATAGGAAGTTTTATTCAATCAATACAAAACGGTTAACGCATATTCATTTTCTTTCATTCTTATATTGTGGTTATTAACTACGACCAACGATCATCTGTGCGCTTTTAATTAGGTAAAATTCTGATAAGCAATTAAGACTTTAACAGATTTTATTTTTTCCCATGATTCAACAAATCGGGTTAAAACGTCACAACCCAGTGACGTAGGTCAACCAAAAAGGTTACAAATACTTGATTTTCTCCGTTATAAGAAAGAATATAAATTTAAAACTTTGTGAATGTGTTTTTTATGTTAAGATTAACATATTTAGATGATAAGTAAAAAATCGCGGACTTTCCCTTTAATAGCAACTCTTTAAAAGTCCTGAAAGTGACTAGTGCTTATATAACTAAAATGTCTAGATCATAGAAATAAGATTTTGTCTTTCTAACAATAACATATTTCATTATGATGTTTCCATTGTAATAATGTACTGTAATATGGGTCTTTGCCAATTATTGTTATTGTGTTTGTGCCAATAAAATATTTATATATTTATTTGTATTTCTATGATTCCTTTAAAAGGGTCACATGTCCAAATGCATTTTCAAAAGTGACCTGAAAACCACAGATACTAATGAAATTTTTCACAGCAATTTATAGAATATCTAACCTCTCCAATCCATCCAAACAAAGGCAATAATTTAATTGTTCACATTGAGGAGGGGCAACTAAAATCATCTATATTTCATGTATTTACTTCAAAGTTTCAATATTTCATTTCTAAACTAACATTTTGAGGGAAAAGCCATTTTGCATCCCATAACCTGCTTTTTCTCTAATGTCTGAATCAGACAAGTAATCTAGAGTGCTTTTTACATCTGTTGGAATTATCACAGGTACAGGACGACTTCTCTGTAATAAAAATATACAAACATGCCTTTAGTTTTAAACAAGCTATTTATCCAGTTATATGTCATACTAAGGCTATGTGATTTCAGTCAAAGAAACATAAAAATGGGTTAAAGTCTCAATTTGCAGGGTTGTTTATATGATGTTTGAATTAGAATGTTGATTGAAAACTGTATAAGGTGATTATTTACAAAAAAAATATTACCCTGTTTTTAAATTTTCTGGAAAATAACAGAGTATTACAGTTCCAAATTCCAGAAAAGAATGATAAGAATTCTTCAAACTATTAACAATAATAGCAGGTAAACAACTTCAACATATGCACAATCTTTCTGTCAAGTTTCAAGGATCTGGGTCTAAAACCATAGGCGGTTTAGGTCAGTCAGCGGGCCCCCCCTTATGAAAAGTTCTGGATCCGCCACTGAAAACAGTAGAAGGGGTGGATTACACAATATATTACGGATTACAAATGTGTCGAGTTTTGTGATTGGATAAAAACACAGAGATGTCAGAATATATTCAGGAAACTGCCGGATATATACGAGGTTTTTTTTAATCCCAATTGGAACCTCAACAACGTCATCATAACGAACGTTACTATGTGACGTAGTCTTATGCTATACAGTACACCTAAAGAACATCGGAGGCTGACAGAGGGAAAATAATGTTTCCGTCAATAATATGTTTTTTTAATTTAAAATCACGCGATTTACACATCAAATACTTAATTAATGTCTTAAAGTGTTATTAGAAATTACTGCATACACGATAGAATTATTTTCACAGCAAATTACAAAATGCTTCACGTATATATGCGATAAATATATAGACCTAGGGCCCATAAGGCTCAGGGAATATAAACTCTAAGCTGGGAATGTCACATTATATACCCTGTCTGAGACCTGAATAACATATAATGTGTACACTCTTTTGAAAATTTTGCTGGACAACAAACTAAGTTTCCACGTCTGGAAATTGACAATTATAGGTCAAAGTACAGCCTTCAACACGGAGCCTTTTCTCACACCGAACAGCAAGCTATAAATGGCCCCAAAATGACCAGTGAAAAACAATTCAAACAGGAAAACCAATGAGAAGGCCTTCGGCCTCACCCCCTATGGATTTTACTAACCCTCTATGGATCCGTAGGGGGTCAGTAGCGAACCATATAACTTATAATAGTAGGTGACCAACTAAACAATTTGAACAATGTTCCTGTCAAGTTTGAGAGATCTAGGTTGAAAACTGTAGGAGTTGGGAGATTTTGTAAACTTTCCCATAATAGCAGTTGCACAATTTCAACATATGTGCAAGACTATTGTTAAGTTCAGGAACATTGGTTGAAAACTGTAGGAGAAATTAGTTACAGGTACCCTCTTAACTTTGCTGAAAAATTACTAAGTTCCCATGTCAAAAAAATTCTGTAAACAATTCTATAAAAGCAGGTGCACAACTTCAGCATATGGGCAAGCTTCCTGTAAAGTTTCAGGAATCTGGGTTGGTTTAAACTGTAGGAGTTAGTTACACAAATCATGTTCCAATTTTTCCTCCCCACCTGACATCACCATAATATAGACTAGCTTGGACTTCTTAACCCAGCCAAAAATATAACGGGTAGAATCATTAGATAGCTAAAAACAAAAGTTATCTGTAAATAAAAAAATAATGCAAACATTTCTTACAGCAAATCTACCCGTTCAGCAAATAGTGTTAAATAAATTAAATGATCCCTTTATGTGTTTAACATTTCATCATTTTTTTAGTATTAATAAAACATTACACTAATTTCTTAATTCCAAGAACTAGTTCTTTGCAGCAATGATACATTTGACTGATATCATGCTCATTGATAATTTTTCTTGTTCATATTTTTCAATTGTTTCATTTTCCTTCTCATAAAGCTAACTCTAAAATTAAAGATAAAAGATATGATTCTTGCCCATAGTGAATTTAAAGTTTTAAAATTCAAAAAGCTCCCTGATAATTGAAAATTTAATATTGATTTCAGAGATGTTAAGGAAGACGGTTGTCACTATACCAATATATTTTTTTGGTTGATTTTAAATTATGCTGATTTTCAAAATAACTAGAACATGTAAGATTTGGGGAATCATATTCCATCTTTGTTTATTATAACTAAAACAAACCAGATGTTGAAATTATATACATTTCATGTTGTTATGTTACACTACTGTCTCAGGTTAGGGTGAAGGTTGGCGCGCCTGTCAAAATGTTTTTATATATTTTATATGCACCTGTCCTAAGTCAGGAGCCTGTTGTTCAGTGGTTGTCGTTAGATGGTGTGGTTCATAGGTGTTTCTCATTTTGTATATAGATTAGATTTTCCTGTTTGAATTGTTTTTCACTGGTCATTTTGGGGCCATTTATAGCTTGCTGTTCGGTGTGAGAAAAGGCTCCGTGTTGAAGGCTGTACTTTGACCTATAATTGTCAACTTAAAATACCTTGTTACTTGGATGGAAAGTTGTCTCATTGGCACTCATACCACATCTTCTTATTCATATCAATGTTGTCAATTACAAACTTTAAAGGGGCACTATCTGTCAAATTCATGTTCACTGATTTGACTCAAATTCTCATATTTGATTTATTACCATGTAAAACATTTATCCAAATTATAAAAAGTCTAAAATAATTAATTTACAGGGCATGAGCTTGATAATATGTAGCTTCGTTTAGTATGTATTTTAGTCTTGACGCCATCTAATTAACTATCAAGTTGACCTCCAAATACCTCCGATTGTCATATAAGCGATATAAACATAAATAAAGATATAAATAGAAAGCAAACGCGTGCAATTGGAATTTTCTAGGTCTGTTTAATTTCATATTATAGATTAAAAATATATGCTAATCATCGTTTTTACCTGTATAAGAATGATTTTTTTGTGGATCAAATCAGTCAATCAAATGATTTAGCTTTGTTTCACTTTCAATGTTGACATTCTTTTCCTTTAAATAACCGCACACGTACAATTCATGCGTTATCCATCTCTAGCTAAGGGGTTAAATTGAAGTTCACATGATTACGGATTAAATGAGGTCGAATTATTAACTTGGAAGTGAATAATTCATCATCAATGTTTCTTAGCTTAATTTGACAAATTGAACAATACTGGCTGCTAAAAGCAAATTATTATTTCACTATTTCACTTTCATTAATGATTGAACAAAAAAAATCATACTCTAGATTTTTTATATATCTTGTAGCTAGTGCCCCTTTAAGTGTCTGCATAACATTAAATACAGAAATATTGCACTTGAATACAAGATAGTAAAGCTACTTTGTAGAAACATACCTTTCCGCGACCCAACATTAATTCCTGAGACTTCAGTAAATGACTTTCAAATTCATTGAGGTTATTACCTAAACTTGCATCTAAGTTTCCTAGAAACATACTGCTTTACTCTAAAAAAAAAATTTAACAGTTTAACAAAGAAGAATAAACCTATATTCATGTCAAAACTGTAGAATCTAAATTTCATCAAATCAACACATAAAATATGTTTGAAATTATAAACAAGAGGCTCACGCGAGCCTGAAATCACTCACCTGTAATTTCAGTTTCAAACATTTTACTTATTTGTAGATCTTACTTTGCTGAACAATTTTACCATTTACAATTTCTCTCTATCTATAATAATATTTATGGTCCGCTGAAGTCGAATTAAAACTAACACATGTTATGATGATGCAGACCACAGATGTGACAGTTTATGTTTCAAAATCAATCATGTCAAAAGATACATTTTTTAGATGCATGATTTTTTTTATTAGTTGTTAGTGGCTTTGAACTAGCTGTCAGTAACTGCGAGTACTCTCAGATCTGTACTTAGTGTCTTTTTGTTGTTTGGATGTACAAGTACCCAGCCACGTCCACATGTATTTGTAGTATTTGTATTTTTATCCATCTGATGAGTTAAGCCTCTTTCAACTGATTTTTATAGTTTGTTCTTATGTTGTACTGTTACAACACTGTCCCAGATTAGGGGAGGGTTGGGATCCCGCTAACATGTTTAACCCCGCCACATTCTGTATGTATGTGCCTGTCCCAAATCAGGAGCCTGTAATTCTGTGGTTGTCGTTTGTTTATGTGTTATATATTTGTTTTTTGTTCATTTTTTGTACATAACTTAGGCCGTTAGTTTTCTCGTTTGAATTGTTTTACATTGTCATTTTGGGGCCTTTTATAGCTGACTGTGCGGTATGGGCTTTGCTCATTGTTGAAGGCCATACAGTGACCTATAGTTGCTAATTTCTGTGTCATTTGGTCTCTTGTGGAGAGTAATCTCATTGGCAATCATACCACATCTTCTTTTTTATATGTATAAAATTTGCATACACTACAATTATAAGTACCAATTGTGAATTTAAATATACAATACTTTCATTATAATCTGAACCCATAAGCATATTATATAATAAGTGAAAAAACAAATGTCATCAATTATTGAAATTGAAATTTTTGAAAAGTCAATCAATTTCGAGTTATCTCCCCTTGACTATAAATTTGTTAATAATAGTGTAACATCTCAACTTTTGGGATCAGATACCGCCATGACGTATAAAGCTCTTTTGGAGCTGAAAACGCTGCCCTAAAGTAAACCTGCATCAACCATCATCCTACTAATGCAAATGATAAAACTTATAATTGTACGTACCGTTAATAAAAAATTAAAAAGTTATGCAACAAATGTATATACTAAAGATACACAATTTACAGACATAGCGTTCAACAACTGTTTCTAATTGATTAAACTGAAAAGGATGAAATGATGACAAAATGTACGGACATTGAGTCCCACAAATGTCCTTTACCCTAAAAGACACAATTTACAGATATTGTGTCCCCATATGTATCTCTTGATGCAAACAAATCCTATACTAAAAAGACACAATTTACAGACATTGTGTCCTACCAATGTATCTACTTGATACAAACCAACCATATACTAAAAAGACACAATTTACAGACATTGTGTCAAACAAATGTTTTTACTTGATGCAGTAATAGACCAAATATGTTTACTAACGACTGAATTCTTACAACAACGACATACATTCAATAATTGTATTACTACCTATTTTCCTCGTCAAATAACTGTATTTCCTTATATATTGTTATTAGTTTACTGCTTAATATTACTAAACGCAAATGGGAGATTTTAAGATTCCAGTCCTAGCAAGCTGGTTTCTGCCAATTTCTTCTCAGTAAAATTTGGTCAATTCAATGGTAAACGGATGAATTTCGGGTTTTAGGTTGTCCTTGTATCAGCTTAAATGAGCGTCATAATTCATCTTTTTCCATTTGTCCACCGTTTCCATATAAACATGAACTGTTATTCTGTATGCGATATGTAACGAGCTGTGACCCACAAGCCCTGTACAAAATATGAAATAATAAACGTCAGTAATTCATTCACAAAATACATCATATCATGATCAGTTGAAAGACAGATAAACATGACTAAAGGTTATAAATTTTACCTGATTGTCTATATACAATTTGAATGCATCAGATTTCCATCTACCTAATGTTCTTATAGTTTCTGTGGACAATCCTTTTGCACTTGCATCGGTGGTGAAGCCTATTCTAAAACTATGAGGTTTGTAATATGCTCTGCTGAGCCCACAAAAGTTCATAGCACCATTCAATGCATGTTGGAATAATTGTCTAGAAACAGCTTCTCCACTGGAGTTGAGAAATAGTGTACCTCCTTTGTTTGTTCTCAAAGTTAAGTAACTTGTCAGTGTCGTTACTGCACAAATATTGTCATTTCTATTCTTAGCTCTTTTTAAATGAAATTGTTTTCCATTAGAATGTTTGAAGTCCATGAAATTGATAACAATTTTTTGTGTAACAACAGCTTGACTAAAACTAATTACATGATTGTAATTTTTGTTGTTGACTGTCTTCTCCCCAATTCTTAAAAGAGCATGGTATGCTAGGGTGAACATTGCTTTGAATAAAATTTGATCATACCTATTAGATATTTTCTGTTTTAATGTATTCATTAATTGATTCAAAATCGTACTAGTGATTGGAAGTCTCATATCTTGATTTCTTCCCTTATGCACTGATTTCAGCACCTTATCAATAATGAATGAATCGGTTGTATCAGGCCAATTATTAATTTTGTGTATAAAACCAATTGCTGATGTTGAGATAGAACTTGATGCAAGATCTTTGTTTTTCAAATGTGCTTTAAATAATATGAGATCTGAACTAGTAAGTGGTAACTGAAATCTAATGCCATATTCTTATAGTGGATAAGAGCTCTTCTATAAGTTTTTTGTGAGGAGTCAGATAAGATGTTGTTAAAAATTTGATTTAAGGGTTTCTGTAGCTTGGCAAATCTGGTAGATTGGGAACTGGTTTTGGAACAGTGTCTGCCCATGGTGCTAACCGATGAAATTTCTGTACCTGTTGAAGAGAAAGTGCATCTGCCAATACATTTTTTTAACCATATATGTGTTTTGCCTTAAAGTTCACATTGTTTCTCAAGCAGTGTAGAATTAGTCTCCTTATTAGGAACATAATTTATACATCTTTAGATGTTTGTTTATTAATTACAGACACTAAAGCTTTATTGTCTGTATGAAAATTTATGCACTGGTTTTCGAATTGGTGGCCCCATATTTCAACTGCCAAGACTATGGGATATAGCTCTAAAAAGGCAATATTTTGTTTTTGCCATTTTGTGTCCCATTTGCCTGAGAACCACTGTGAACCAAACAAAGCACCATAACTGTATGTACCAGAGGCATCTGTAAACAAATGTAGCTGATCAGATGTTAACCAACGGTCTAATAAAAATTCTTCAAAAAAATTTGCCATGTATTTAGATCTTGCCTAACTGATTTTGTCATACATATTCTATGAAAGGATTGTTTGACCCCAATAGTTAAGTCTATTAGTCTTTTCAGGAATGCCCTTCCTGGTATGACAACTGCACAAGCAAAGTTGAGTGTACCAATGATAGATTGAAGTTCCCTCAATGTAATTTTTTCTTTTTGTAACACTACGGTTATAAGATTGTGACATTTTGCAAGCTTATCGATGGGAAGTCTAACTTCCATCAACCTAGTGTCTATTTCCTAACCAACAAAACTCATGACCTACGATGGCTGGAATGTTTTTTCCTTTGAAATTGGTATACCCATATCATTACAAATTGCAAGAAAATGTTCTAATTTTTTCTTACATCCATCTTCAGTTTTGTCAACTATCATGAAATCATCTAAAATATGTACATTGTTTGGAATCAGTATTTTATTTTGGGCGATCCATTCAAGTGCTGTGCTAAAATTCTCAAAAATTTGACAACTTGAACTACAACCCATTTTCAGATTTTTATCGTTTTATAGTATTTCCCATCCTACATGAAACCAAACAGATTATATTGTGATTCTTTTATGTTTATCATTCTAAATGCACTTGATATGTCAGTTTTTGCACAAAAACGTTTTCTTCCTACGGTCTTAATCAGTTCTATTGCATCTTGAATGGAAGCATACTGTACGCTGCATTTGTCTTGTGGTATGTTGTCATTGATTGATGACCCTTTAGGGAAAGATAAGTGGTGGATCATTCTATATGTCCCAGGCAGTTACTTTTCTGCTAGGCCAAGAGGGGATAATTGCATTTCTGTAAAAGGTTTTGAATCAAAAGGGCCAACAATTCTATTTGCACTTATTTCATTTTGAATTTTTTGTCTAACAATATCGGGTTTAGTCTTTGCTGATAATAAGTTATTATGATGAACAGAACCTCTGAATCCCACGTCGAACCCATATTTGAACCCCTTAACTAAGTAATTGTACATCTTAATATTATATCCTTTTAACCAATATGCAAGCCTGTCAACCTTAACTGGTGTATTGCCATTAGAATTATAGTTAATATCATTTTCTGGTGGGGACAGTTTTTTCTGTCCTTGGGGAGGAGGTGTCGTCTCTTACTAGATAGGGAGGGTATTCTGTTTTCACCTCGAAAGGGCTGGTTATTCCCGCCTTGTATCTTTTTTGAGTTATTACTGGTTTGTGTGAACTTATAAGGAAGCCGAACTGGTTTTTTGCATGTTGAGAATGAGTGGTTGAAACCACAATTGAAACATCTGTGTTGAAACTTGCATTTTTCACCAAACTTACAACCTAAACCCTTATGAAATGAAAAGCATACCCCAATTGGCCAGCAAGTATTACCACTTTTGTTGTTGTCATTCCCAGATTTAACATTTTACTTGCAATTTTGCTCTGAGATATAGCTCTAGGTGTGTACACCCCATTGTGCTTCTCCTCTTTCTTATAGTTTCCTGAATTCAATATCATAATATTGCCAGTTCCCCCCTTCTCTTGACATTTCCAGGATAATTTCCATATGGTGGGGAATGACAGACCCTAATTCAGGGTTTTTTGTACATATTATCGCAGTAAATTTATTCCAGGCTGATAGCCACTGGTTAAGGGTTAATGTTCTCTTGTTTCTCTCTTCTGTAATTGACAATTCAGGGTTGTCAGCCCCTTGAACAAGTTGTAATCTATATTTGGTCTCGTCATTATCAAAGAGGGAATGGAAGTAAATGTATCTTCCCTCCCATATTTGTTTTTTTTATCTTATCGGGGATGTTGCCCCCTGTTTTGAGAGAGCAACTGACAAATGCTGATTGCCCTCGAACAATTTGTTTCTCAACTGTTGGTTGTACAGCAAGAACCTCTGGACTGACAACCACATTGTTATTGTCATGGTTTTGATCTCCATTACATGTACCTTGAATGTTTCTGTTCAGAGAGTCAACATGATGTTGGATCTCAGCCTCCTGAACTCCTGAATTGCAAGTATTTCCTTGGGAAGTAATCTTATTGAATATTTCCTCCATCCTCCTTTCCATGCAGCTGGCGACCCTTTCTGTGACCCTGTTGGTCAGGTCCTCCATGTCATCTGGAGACATAACTGCTGTATTATTAGGTGGGGTGTAAGGCCTACTTGGGTTAGCTGTGGATATTTTCTTCCTCTGGACGGCATTCTTCATTTTTTTAATGGCACCTGCCACTCCATATGAGGATTTTCTTTTTGGAGGCATTGTCTGAAATATACTAATGCAAACTTAATACAATACTTTCAATATTTTAATCATTATAATTTTTTTTAATTTTTTTTATTAGGACTATTTTATTTTTATTGAATTTGTCTATTTATTTTTCTTTGGATTTAAGTTTGATTATTCATGTTAACCTTGTTTGAATAATTTTAATCTGGACGATCCTCAATCATTAAATATGTTTGTTTGTGTCTGTTATTATCTGAAATATTGCAAGTTTCCGCCGTAATAATTTACCTTTCGGTGACCAAATATTTAGTTTTAGCAACAACAATACTTTATTTTAAGAGGGTTACACAGTTAGCTATATAACTAATCTTCCCTGAGGCCCTCATCATAGAAAAGCATAAACAAAAGTTCAAACATATACATGGCATACATTAGTATAAAAGTCAAGTATGATGATAATGTGATATGTAATATGATATCAATCGAAAAACTGTACATAGGGGATTGATATGTAAATTTTGTTGTTAACTAGTATTTATTTATAGTAACTACTACTTGAACCATGATTATGCATCAAAGTTTTGATTGTCATCCTGTTGCGATTATCCACCGGAAGTTTTCCAAAGATTACAAAATTTACGAGTATGGTTCAGATACGTGTGAAATTTCTGTTTTCTAATTTAATCTCTTTGCAGGCATTGATAACTGCTCCTCGTATTGACTTGTATAAGTGGTATTGACCTTTCATATTTAGATGTACTCCATCGGTAATAAATTTATCTTTGCATGAATTTTTGTTTGTGGTGACTCGAAGGAAAATCTTTTGTTATGATCCCAAAAGATAAATTTCGATGATTTTTCAACCTCGTTTTTTTATCATTTTATCTATTTCGTGTGCCTTTTTGAAATACATATTCTTGTATGCCCTATCTCGGACACTTGTATTGTCCCAATTGTATCCACATTTCTTAAATCTGAAATTATCCTGTGGGAAGCGTGGCATGAGGGCACATGTTACTACTCGTCAAACGCCATACGTATTTGTCAGGAGCGAACAGAAACTTATCAGTTTATATGCCAATTCCTCAACAGACGTGTCCTCTGCAACATCGTTACCACCAGCTAGGAGAATAACACATTCGGGTTTATTAAGTTGAATAGTTCTTCCTTCTACGCCATGCCACTCCACAGTTGTAGTTTTTGCCAAATTGAAGTCTAATTGGTGTCTTATGATCATTTCCTGATTTCAGGTAGTTGTGAAGCCGATGGCAAATGGAATGACCTAGTATAAGTGTGTTTAAAAGCATGCCTAGATTAAAACATTTTATGAAATTGAGTGTCACCAAATTTCTGTACCTTCTGCCTTCAGCAGCTATTTGAAAAAGAGGCTGCATATTGAAACATGTGCTTAAAGAAGCGCCCCTATATCAATTACAAAATTCCTAAAAGTTTCATGTCAGATTATAATACACCTATGTACTGTACAAAACTATTTTCTACATATTTCTAAAATTTACGAACATATATCAAAAGACTTACAATTAAAAGTTACAATATTTCATTGTACCATAAAGTCACTTATGCTGCACATAAGTGTATTAAAGATAATAACCAAAAACAGTTAAATATCATAAAAGTAAACTATTTTGGACAGTAACCCAATGTCACTTTTGCCCTTACTGCTATAGTTTTTGAGATAAGAGCCAAAAACTGCATTTGACCCCATGTTCAATTTTTAGCCATGGTGGCCATGTTTGTTGATGGATCAAAACTTTGGATACAATTCATAAATTAGATGGCCACAGACCACAATTAAATTCCTCTATTAGTTCTTTATAACGTTTTGTCTCATTAAAAAAATTGCACCTGGTCTTTTTGTCAAATTATTTTTGTGCGTAATGTACAGTACTAGTCCAAACATATATCCAACATTCAGAAAGATTGCACTTTAACATCTTACAAATTTAGCCAATACACGAGTACCCCTACGGACAAGTCAAGAGATGTTCCGAAAACTGTAAATATTACCTTTTTGCACCTGGCCTAATCACTCTTTCCATATCAAAATCAGTTAAAATACAACATCCAAAAATTTATTTCAGCTCTATTCTTTCATTTCCACCCCATAAAAACTAAGAAATGAAAAAAATAAAGAACAAATACACCTTAATTAAAGGGAACTATATTCGTGGACAACGAAAAGCAGGGTCATAAAATGTGTCCCCATGAACACAGATGATGCCCCCGCTTGCATACAACATTACAAAGGGACATAACTCAAGAACGATAAAAGTGACGCTACCCAAATTTGTATTTGATCTTAGTTTTGTGGTAATAAGTATTGTGTATAGGTTTCATGTTTGGTTGGGGCAAACTTCATTAACTTAAGTTACAGAACGGAAAATAAAAATTTTGCAGAGGAAAAATATATACATACACATATAATCATGATAATACGCAAAGGCTGTAAATAATCAAATTTAATAAAAGGAGGAAGTTCGGTAAGGACCATATTTGGCCCCGATTATTAAGTTTCAAGATAAAAAAATATTTTAAGTTGATGAAAAGACATGTAAGAAAGCCAAATAGAGCTATTTTTATTTTTATTTAAAAGCGCTGATTTTTACCTCCCAAAAATAGAGATTTTTGCGAAATTTTACAAAATCTTCCAGATTTTAACCAGATTTGGGCCTTGGAAATATAAAAGGCAGGCGTCGACAAACTAAATATTCAAGTCAGATATGTAAAATGTTATATCAAACATTATGTTAAAAGATATTTTTTTGTAGTAGACACATGCACTCTGTGGTTCCTGTCTAAAATATCAATGGAAATTTACCCGTTTTTATTGAATTTTCATGGAAAATCAAAATGAGTGCTATTTGTGATGTCATGAATAGATTGTCAGTACGCCAATTTTCAACATAAAAACATACTTCTTATTTATAATTAGTCATTGTATTAATTATAATTCATTGTGATATTGGTCAATAAATCCTAATTTGAAATTGTAGCTAGAAATAGGGGCCATATCGAACCTACTCCTTTATGGTCTGTAAATTATCAAAATATGTTAAAAGGACCATAAGAGCTACTGTGCCGCAGCTAATTCCTTACTGATCAAATTAGAAACTTGTGCCACACAGTATCTTAAGAGGGATGATTCTGTAGCTAGCGAGTGTAGCTCCCAAACCGTAGCTATTAGGTCCTTATGATATTTTTGACAATTTGCAGACCATGTCCTTACAAATGTATGATATTTTTTGACAATTTGCAGACTATAACATAAGAGCTAAGGTTCCAAAGCTAGTATAGTGGACCAGTTACCGTCAGAAATTCACAGTTTTTCTCAAATAATTTTTAACGGGAACTCTTTCATTTGTCTTTGGGGAAATATTCTTTTAACATATGGAGGGTTACCAAAAGTTAGGTCATGCACCATGGACTTTGATTTTAATTCCTCTTATAAACAACTAAAAGTAGGATACTAGTAAACCGATTTTTGCGGGAAATTTTATGGGTATGATGACCATTTACCGTCACTATTGAAACTTATTAAATGATACATGTAGAATTAACATGTAATCGGGACATTAATATTGTAATTTTGCTTTTGTGTAGCAAGAAGAGAAGAAAGTATGTCAAATGAACTAAACATATTACCAGTTTGACCATTATTTGGTCCAATAAGAATATGTCGCTTGAATATAACCCTTTATCCTGTATTGAAGAGATGTATAGACTTTAATCTTGTAAATTATAAGTCGTTTTAAATTCTTTTGAAAGAAATTGTATATTCTTAATCCAGGTTAGATAATAGCTATCTCTATAAGATCATGCAATGTCTATAAACGATAAGTTTTCAAAAATTAAGGACCTAACAGTAACAAAGCGATTAATGTCATTTTCCCGCACATGTATCTTCCCATAACGCGTTTACAATCTATAGAAAATTGACACAGGCACTAAGTGTTTCTATTTTGTTGACATTCCCATGGATAGAAACAAGTGCCTGTGAAAATTGAACATTTCCCCATCTTAATCTGATCAAACAAAACAGATATTTTACAAATGAAGTAAAAACATTTGTCTGAAGATATAATAGCAGTATGCAAAGCTTCTGTTGTTAACTAGGATGGCAAGTAACGGTAACTGGTAACTGATAGTAACTGGTCCTCGACCAGTATGAAGTGATCCACAGAAGTATTTTTGAAATCTGCAGCCTTAAAAGACCTCTGTTATTTAATACAGCTTTTCATAGTATATATCATATGCATCCAAATTATTCATCAGTACTTTGGATCAGGGTATTATGATGATAAGTCTTGAAAAGTTTTAGAATTATCCGCATGATGTGAGGAACCTTAACGGTAAGAGGAGAGAAACGAGAACCGTCGTCTCGATAAAAATATCCGGTATGAACCTCTTTTATATTTGGAGCACTGCATATCTGGACATGGTATTTACTCTGCAATCTAATTATTTCTGTGCTGCTATATGGTGCTAAAATCCTTTACAGTAATTACCTGCATGTTTTTTTTTATATATGCTATTTTAAAACTTTCCACTCAGTTTTTCATTATTGCACTGTTTGACAATGAGTTCAAGTTGTTTATAGTTTGTAAATATCAGTACTTTCTGATAAAAAATACATTTCTTGATGTGAAGTTCTTGACTTTCTGTTATATATATTCAATATGTTTTTCAGTGGGAATGGTTACACAGGATGTCCACTATTTTCAATTGTTGTACACTTTTTACAAGGTGCTGTTGAACTAATAGACTCCTTCTTTCCACTCATTCCCAATAAAGGTGACACTATACATTTATTTCCCTTGGCTGAGGGAGATATGAAATTTTTTTCACCCAAGAAAATTCATATTCCCGACTCCCCCCCCCCCCGGTATTGCCCGAGGGAAATATGACTTTTTGAGGGTGAACAAATCTTCATATCTCCCTAAGCCAAGGGAAATGATGTTTTGTTCCAGTCTATACTTTTTTAATCCCTGAAAATAAAAATATTCTGGAAGACATGTGATCCAACCACAAGTCTTATATTGAGTCTGTTAGCTTTAAGCCTTCTTTTAAACCAGGACACTTAATACAGAAGCACCAAATTTTTTTTCCTATAGTTTGACCTGACCAGGTAGTAAACTCCTTATTTTTTTTTGTAATTCTGACAGGTTTTATTTAGTTTATACAGCAATTAAGCGTATACCTTTTTCTGGAAATTAAACAAGCTTACTATGCTGATTGTTGAAGGTTGTAGGATGACCTACAGTTGTTCACAAAGCTTTATAATTAACATAACAATTCCAAATGAGGTACAGTTTATTTGTATTATGTTCCCAATTTAACTGATAGTATATAAGAGCAGTTCCATCAAAATATACATGGGACCCAAGGAAGGCAACTTTTGCCACTATGGATGGGTGTAAAATATTATGTTGTACATGATCAAAACATATGCAGGACTTTAAATTACGTTCTATGGATGGCTTCTGTATTTTCAATGTGCTTTCCCTGAATACGGAGTGCGTTTTAATGGAACAGCTCTAATACTAAAATGTGGTGTTTGAGGTAAATAATAATTTATTTATATCATTTAAATGATTAATAATGTGTTGCTTTCTTATTGGAAATTTCCCCACTTCACCTTTTATTAATATAATCATTACATATATGTAACACTCCCAAACGTGTCCATCCCCCCAAACGTGTCCGATTCCCCCAAACGTGTCTATTCTCCCAAAACGTGTCCGTAATATTCAATATTGCCCAAACGTGTCCGATTTCATAACCCTCAAACGTGTCCTATAATTGTTATTCGCCAAAACGTGTCCACTGTTAAACACCAGAAAGTCTCATGTCTTTAAGCGCTAATACATGTATGTCCTAAATGAAATCAATAACGTTTACGGCAATTCTATGATGGGGGAAACATGCAGTTGATGAGGTAGTAATTTATTAGCATTAGTTTGTTCAATGCCGGTTGTTAATGATTATCATAATTGCAAATTTAATATGTAACATATGTATTAACTTTTGACTGAATTTGCTTATTGTCCAGTTGCAAGTATTTCATGCTCATTTAGAGCGAACATACAAATAATTCTAGTGCAGTTGAATTAATCGTTTACTGTGTAAATTTTGTGTTACTAATAAACTCCGATGATGCCTATTATATTAATCCGATGGCGGGCTTTCAGCAGAATTGACTTCCCTTTTTTTCAACAGTTCTGATATTTTAAAAGCTCTTCAAATCATAAACTGGTTTTCAGGTTTTTTAATAAATTTTAGGTTTCGAGCATCACTAAAGACACACGAACAAGAGAAATAACGTCCAGTGCCAAATATTTCATGCATTATTTGAACGACATCATGTTAACAATAAATACTGTATATAGGTTCTATTATCATACCGGGAATTTAGGATTGGGCCTAAATTTTGACGGTTATTTGGGATTAACACTAGTTGGGATTTTAATCTAAAAAAAAATAAGAGAGAGTGAAGACCGATTTTTTTATGGCTTCAGTAAGAAACTACTGCAATCTCCGCTATGTAATAGCGCTAGCTAGAGGCTGTTTTAAATAAAAGT